TACTGAGCTTGGTTGGCATATTTTGATTCCTTCTGCAAAAAGCCCGGACTTTGCATCAACCATTTGCATTAGTTTATGCAAAACTCTCTTGTGGTAAACAGTTTTCTGATCAAAGAACAACTTAAGGCAGTAGCCTCCTTAAGAAAGCAAAAAAAATCTGTTTTTATCCATTTTTTTTTTTTTTTTTGAAGAAAAGAAAGTTATTGCGGTAAATGAAAATTTCGAGCATTAGTGTACTTTGTTTAAGGTTCAAAAAAGAATTTTTAGTATCAAAAAACATACGAATTTTCAAATCTTTTGATGAGTTTTCTGAAGCGGCTGCAGTCTGAACTCGTGAAACGATGCCGGTGATGTCGGTTGTGCGATGCCACTAAAACTGTCGAACCTAAATTTTTTAAATTTTTATGTTTATCTTTTCTATATGAACCAATAAATACCCAAAAAGCTGGAAAATTCCAAAATTTTTTCGAAATTTAAAAAAAAAATTATTTTTTGTGAAAAAAATTTCACTTACTTTTGCCAACTTTTTTTCTTCAAATAGAAGATAATTTAACCGAATTGATTTTTTTCTATCGGACATTTATTTGCTCTCCTATCACTCGGGAAAGAGCGCTTCAAAGTTCTGCTTGAGCATTCGAACCTGCTCGACGCTCGGCCACTAAAACTGCTCTAGCTTCTAAAATATGTTGATTGGCAATTGAAAAAATCGATATATTCTTATGAGTTCAACAATGAAATGCAAAATAAGATATTTTTTGTAATAGAGAGAACAACAAACAAAAAAAAAATTCCATTAAAAAATATCTAATTTTTTCCATTACGTAAAATGTATATGAATGTTTATATGTTATATTATTGATGATCCGGTTCTTGATATTTAAGAAATTATGTGAATACATATTTTCATATAAAAATTGAAGTTAAGTCGATATATATATATATGTATTTCTTATGACATATAATACACATTAAGGTTTGACGAGCAAACTAAGAGCACCATAGCGCAAGAGTTCAGTGCAGGGAAATTTAAAGAGAGCATAAGAAGTGAAGAGAATTCTTCTCATTGGAATATCGGCGGTTTTATGAGGAACAGTGGAATTCGAACAAATTTATACGACATATAAGAGCGATATTAAATGGGTAAAGAGAGTGTATAACTTTATATAATACACTTATTATGTATTTAAAGTGTTTATATGAAGCTTTTGAAGTACATAAGCTGGTTATATGCATAATATGAATATAAAATAAAATAACTTTATAAAAAAAAAAAAAAAAAAAAAGTTTCAAAATTATATAAAAATACAATAAAAAATGTTTAAAAAAATATGAAAATTTCTTTGGGTTAAATCAATTAAAATATATCTTTTAACTGTTGGGGCCTCAGAGAAGCTAGACTTTAATATACTGTCTCGCTGTGAGTATTAAGATTGCTTTGGAGGCGGTTTTGTGCTAAATAAAAATTCATACTGAAAGCAATAAATTGATTGAACCTCAAAATAATAAATATTATATAATTTTTATGTTGTATAAAAATATACGCAATCAAAAAATTACAGTTAAAATTTTAGTCTCGGAACATAAATGAAAATACTTATATATTTTCTTCCTTAAGTTCAGTGTTATTAATTAAGAAAATATTTAATAAAAAAATGCGTAATAAAAGTTAAATATTATTCTAATTTGTTTTTGATGCCAAATTTTTTAAAACATAACGTACATATGTAGTTACAACATTACTAAATAGTAAAAGAAGCTTTTTGTTTTTAGTATTAAGTTGATGACATGTATAATGATATATATATACATACATACAATGCAACCGCTATTGGAAATTTTCGGTCGAAATTTATGTATTTATGAGTAATGATAAATTTATGAATTTTTTTAATCCAAGTTATACGATTTTTCGTGCAAAATGGGTAAAAAACTATGTTTGTAAATATATATATGTATAGTTACATATATTGCATAATTTTAAAACTGAATAAAAATTTAAATTTGTATGCGCAAAATTACAATTATTATTAATTACAGCTATGTATATGTGTTAACTCAAAATTTGTTGGAAAAATAGATTTTAAAAATATATAGAAAGAATAAATAATACAAGAGAAGTATAAATATCAATATATATATGCACATATGTTTATATGGAATTGCATTATTTCAACTCAAAATACAAGTAGCAATGACGTTATTCCCATTTTAAATATAAATATATTTACACGCAAAAATTGTAATTTTAATTATTAAAAAAAAAATTGCTGATTTTTAAAATAAAATATTAAGAAAAAATAAACAAAAATAACAATTATAAAAAAAAAATAAATAAACCGACTTTAATTTTATTAATGTAATAAATATTCTTACAAGAAATAATATACATATTACTAAATTCTAAGCTTGAAAAAAAAATTACATTAAAAATAATAGAAATTGAACATTGAATTTTACCGCTAATTTTTCGGCAAATTTTTCCTCAAAAATGCATGAAAAAGATTTCACAGAGTTTGTGCTAGCAATTGCTATGTATTTTTAATTGTAGAAGATAGAAATTATTGCAGTGAAATTATTTCAAAATAAGCACATCACTAGAAAATCGTTCTTACTTAAGAAAGTGTTGATTTTAAAAAGCTTATTTCTAAAAATTCTGAAGCAGCGATTTGATAGTAGATACTTCAAAAAAATAAAATAAAAGGTTTTTATTATCTTTGACATATATATGTATATGTTTCATATATATGTACATATGTAGTTGGCGTCTAATACCCTCTCCTCTGTGGGTGTGGGTTTCGATGTCTCACCAACAGGTCCTTCAATTGATTTTGAACCACCTCCAAGAAGCTGGAGGAATTTTATAAGAAGCGTTCTATATATTAAATTATCTATGACTTGGAAAGTTAGGCTGGCTAAGAATGTTTTTTTCAAAAAATCGATAATAAACTAAACTTATTTTCTTTTTACTAATTCTTCCATAAATGCCTCGAAAAATTCTAAGAACATTTTTTTTGTTTTTTCCTAATGATAAATAAAATCAAAAAAGGTTTTTTTTTTAATAATTTTTTAAATTATCTACTATTAAGATTTTATGTATTTGTGATTACTTTCACTTGCGACGAGTTTAATTTAAAAATGTAACTCATGAGATCTGATTAAGTATAAAAATCCATTAAAAAATTCTATTCATTTTTTCTGCTAAAAATTCCGAAAGAGATAAAAACATTCTAATTTGTTGACTAGACCAAAAAAAAAAAAATAGAAAAAGGTGTTGACTAATCCATTCTTCTGCGTAAAAATTTTAACAAAATTCTATTTATTGTATTATGAACAAAAATATTATGATTCAATTCCGAAACTTGATTTATTATGATTATTTTCATACATTTTTCAAAATATTTCAGACAGCTGTAATAAATTCATGCAAAGTAATGTACATGTGTCATTGGTAATATTATCATTATTTTAATTTCCTTCTCAAATCCCAAATAGTTTCTATTTATTTTTAATTTTTTTACTAATTATTCAGGCTAAGCAACTTTTAAGTTTACTTTAATTTAATTAAATTTTTGTATTTTCAAATAATTACTTTAATGCAATTTAAGGAATTAAATATTTTCAAAATTTTTAATTTCCGCATTTCTAAAAATCCCACTACAATAAAAAAATTGCTTCAAACTCGCACTCAAATGCAGCTCATCGATGTACGCGCAACGAAATTTTCAAACCCGTAGCATATGCCTGCTGCCGCAACAGAACAAACAAGCAACACCTGCCTGCCGCTATGCGCAGTTATTTTTAGACTAAATACTCCGACGAACTATGCAACGCCACCAAACCAACCAGGTGCCTATGCGGAGCAAGAGTAGGCAGTCAGCCAGCCAGCCAGCCAGCTGTATGCGCGAGTTGCTTGTTGCTCAGCTTGTTGTTGAGCGCACCGCAACAGAACCTTTCGATGAGCGCCTGCGAGCACCGAACCACTCGAGTGGAGAAAAAGCAAAACAAAAACAACAACTGCGAGGTTGCACAACATACTTACATACATGCATATATGTAAATTAGACCATTAACAAGGGTGAGGGTTGACTTACCGTCGCAGTTGCTGGTGGAAGAGTAGCAGTCAACTCATTATTATTACAACTGAGCGCGAGCTAAAGAGCATCGAAGAAGAGACGCATTGTGTGCTTCGGCTTTATATACCAACAATGGGTATATATTCCTATAATAATTGCAACAGCAACAACAATACATAGCCAACATATTAATTTTAATGTATTGTCTAACAATCTGATTGGCGCAACACCACACACACACACACAGACACACACACACACACACACTAATGTGCAAACAAGCAGTTTGGCAGTTGTATTGTTGTTTTGTTGTAATCTGACCATAAGCGGCACGCGGCCACTAACCAAGTCAGAGCCAGCGACAGAGCCACCCAAGACAGCCAGCCAGCGAACAAGCAACCAAACAAACACGTGAATATGACCAACTCGGCTGGTTGAAAAACAGGTTTACACATAACGGCTTTAGAAGCGGCGACGATTGGTGGTTGCACGGCTGTTGAGACATTTGTTTTTGCTTTGAGCTGGCTATCGACTACTGCTGGTGGCGTATTTACAGCGGTGATTGTTGTTGTTTTGCTGCTGGTGCTAGTGCTGGTGGTGGTGGTGGTGGTTATGATGTTCATCTGAAGTAGAGTTGCTGTTTGCTGGTTATTGGATTTTCTCAGCAATTCCCAACCAATTTGGAAGCGCTCTCGGCCCGAGTAGAGCAGCCTGTTCGCTTGCGCTCACTAAATCTCCGGTGAGCGCGCATATAAGTCCACTCTCAACCAGCTGTTTGAGCATGGAATCGAGCTCGAGTTGGAGAGCGCACACATAGCCACCACTATTGGCTGCTGGCAAGCTGGTTTGGTTCGAGAGTGGATTGAGCGTGCAAGGTATAAAAACGAGGATACGTGGCGGCTCAGCACAGTTCTTCGTTGCTGCTGCTAGAGTTTGTTTGTGCCCCGTTGAACGCGCTGCGCCTTGACCATTTTCAAATTGGTAAAAAAAAGAAAAAAAGTTAACGAAGAAGATAAAAACAAAAATTAAAAATAAGCGAGATCTGTCGGCGTTCGGTAAACGATCGCAGCGTACACAGTGTGTATAGAAGTGAAGGCGCGTACGCGCGGTGTGAAAAAGAACAGTGAAAAACAACGAAATTCCACAAGAAATGTGAACATTGAATTTGTATGGAAATAATCAGAAAGAAAAACTGAAATTTTGAAAGACAAACACTGAAAAGTGCAGAACTCAAGTGAAGTTAAGGAATTGAAAAAATAAAAACAAAAATCTAACAAAATGCATACAGTCGAGGATATGTTGGGCGAGAAGAACTACAGCAAGTGTCCTTTGAAAAAGCGACCCATTAACTATCAGTTCGAGGAGGACAATTCAACGGATGTGGTGGAGGATGCTAAAATGTGCAGCAATGCCACACAGTCCGACGATGACGAGCAACAACTCGAACAGCCAGAAAATTTAAGTCTCAAGAAACGCGCCTACGATGAACGTGACAATTTTCTGCCCAACAAGAGCAACGCCAACACACACGCCGATGATGAATTGATCAATGTGAGTGATAGCTGCGAGGATGAGGGTGTCGATGTCGATCACACTGACGACGATGCGTCCATGGATATGTTGGATGAAGATGATGAGGAGGAGGAGATCATCGATTGTGTTGAGATCGAAGAGCAAAGTGATGCGGCCGCGAACACTACACAAGCAGCCGCTTTGGCTGCCGCTGCAGCGGTGGCTGCTGCCTCCGTTGTTGTGCCCAAGCCCACATATGCCAAGTATGGCCTCCAGCCCTGGAATTTCCATATGTCACCGTATACCGCAGAGTTCTATCGCACAATCAATCATCCACATTTGTCACAACAGATCTCACCGCTACGTGGTGATTTGCTCTCACCCAGTTCACCCTCTGCCGACTCGCTGGGTTCACTATCGCCACCACCACATTACCTGCATGGACGTGCCAATTCTGTGTCACCGCCCGTGCGCTCAGAGCTCATACGTCGGCCAATTGGTGTATGTCATTTACCGCAATCACCTTCGCAGCATACACATCGCTTCATGCCATACCCGCTACCTGCTGCCTATCACGCTGCAACACATGCAACACATCCAGCGCCACCCGCCTATCCAGCCACACTCAGTTATCATCATCCGCATGCGCCCATTTCGCCCACTTACTCCGAAACCTCATACTACTCGATGCGTTCACTCACACCGGAACCACATTGTTCATCGTTACCCGAGGATTTATCCCTCAAACACAGCGCGCTGCAGAAAACCCCACAGAAGGCGTCTACACTAAGTGGCGAAAAGCGTGAAGTGTGTGGCAGCCAAAGTAGCTCGGCACCAAGCACACCCACAAGCAAAAAGGACAAATCATCGCCGCCACGCTACCAATGTCCCGACTGCCAAAAATCCTACTCAACCTTTTCCGGTCTCACCAAACACCAGCAATTCCACTGCCCTGCCGCTGAGGGAAATCAGGTGAAGAAATCGTTTAGCTGCAAAGATTGCGACAAGACCTATGTCTCATTAGGCGCGCTCAAAATGCACATACGCACACACACACTGCCCTGCAAGTGCAATATCTGCGGTAAAGCATTCTCACGGCCCTGGCTTCTGCAGGGTCACATACGCACACACACTGGCGAGAAGCCCTTCAGCTGCCAGCATTGCCATCGCGCCTTTGCCGATCGTTCGAACTTGCGCGCTCATCTGCAGACACACTCCGACATCAAGAAGTACTCCTGCGGTAATTGCTCAAAGACCTTCTCGCGCATGTCGCTGCTGACCAAACATTCAGAAGGTGGCTGCCCGGGTGCGAACAGTAGTAGTGGTAGCGGTAGCGGTAGCGGTAGTTGTGCGAGCGCAGTCGCAGCTGATTCGGTTGCGTCTGCGCATGAACTGCACAACTATCCGGTGTTCGTGGAGCACTAGAAGCAGGAAGTGCTAAGAAAGGCGCTGCACGGCCAAGCCGAGTTTGCCATGTACCACCAAAAATTAGTTCCTAGTTCGAAACCCACCAGCCATCAGCAAGCGGTAACAACGCAAATAGCATCTGATCTTCACAAAGGTCAGCGCGCATATCAAAAAAAATAACTTTCATTCCAAATGAGTACCTTAGAGCCATCAGTTTGTGTGTAGCTCCCAGATCCACTGTGCGCGCTGATTCCCATGCAGAAAAAAAGAAAAAAAAAATTCAAAGAAACTAAAGCACAAAAATCATCACATTTCAATACCTAGTCAGTTAAAAAAAATTTCTATCTGAAAAATCCTATTAACAGTTAACACAACAAAACAACAAACTATTGTAAAAAGGCCTTGCATTTACCACAAATTTTATCTCAAAACAATTTTACTACTATTTTTACTACATACAGTTAAGCTCAATTTTTAAAGACGCAAAAAAGTACTTTATTGCAAAAATCAACTAAGTGGTTATTTGTAAATTTTGTAAATACAATATTTTTAATAAGGAAAAAATATTGTGAAACATTATGTAATTAGTTATGTTAGCTAATTAGTAGTTATAATTAAATTTTATATAAATATTTTCACAAATGGGCAGCATTTTGTAGAAATAACTATTTTTATAAAGACATTTTATAAGACATACAATAATTGTGTAAAAAAAACTCTAATTTTTATAAGGTTTTACCGAACAATTTTTCTACTTGTATACAAACATATTTACACCTAAAGTTTTCAAACATATATTTACATACATATATACGTAAGTACATATAAATATTAGCCATTAATTGCATTTAAGCAATAATAATTTTTATAAGAAATATTTCATAGTGACATTTAATTGTAAAAAAAGCAGCAATGAAAAAAAAAATTATTTATTGATGATGGGTTGAAGCAAAATAAGCAAATATTTAAAAAATACACATACAAATATTTTTACAAAAAAAAAATCTTATGCGTTTTTATTCAATTTTTTTTTTTTAAATATGGAAATTCGATTAATCTTGATTTTTCTGCTAATATAATTTTCATTGAGATGGTTTTTGGATAGCAAAAGTTTTCTAACAAAAGGTAAAGCTTTCTAAAACAACAACAAAGATATCGATAAAGGCAAAATAGGATAAAAAATCATTTTTTACTTCAAAAACAGTCTCTTTAATCAACTTCAGACTTCGGAACATCCTATTTTTTATGAAGAAAGAGGCTAAGATCAGATTTTGTGGTTTTTTTATGTCTTGATGTTTTTCCAACAAATGGAGGAACCTACAGTTTATACTAAGCTCTCTACGATTGGCTAATGGTTTTTTATGAGGAGCCTTTACGTCATGTCAGAAAAACACTCGGAGGGGTTGACATTCCCTGCCGAGAGAATCGCGTATACACTGATGTCAAAAAGAGTTGTTAACTATCTGGGTGTAAGACTAGACCCTAGATTGAGGAACTGGGCACAAATCCAGCAGGCCGCAGTCAAAACCTCCAAAGGAAAGGAAGCTAATCATGGTGGCAATCCTCAACATCTTACTGTGACGGAACACCATCCTGAAGTAATGCGAAAGCGGGTCCAGGGTGGGCGACGGTTCCCTAGAGGAAAGTTATTTAGTGACCTGCACGTGGCACATACCATTGATGTAACGACACAATGATGATGCGGAAGGCATTTTTTTGTATAAATTTTGTAACTAATTTTATACTTGGAAATTATATATTTTTATAGAAAAAAAAATGTACTTGAACCTTTTTCCTTGAGATTTTTTTCAGAATATTGTTTTGATTTTTTATCCAAAATTTTTTTTTTATAAAAATTTAAAATTTTTTTTTTTTAATTTCAATGATATTTTTCAGAACTATTTCGAAAAAATGATACAAATTACATGCACATTGCCTCGTTAGAGCTCGGAATGAAGACTTTATTGAAAAATTTAAGTAAACACGCAATCTTCTTCTCATAAGAAAATACTATAAAAAGGAATATCCTTTTAACAAACATATTTTTTTATGTTTTCAACGGTTTGGGTGACAGCCGGATTAAGAGCGTCCGGGAGTACATTTCTAGGTGCCGAGTGACTCGTAAATTTTATCGCTGAAGGGATTCTCGGTACCGACTTGTATGCGCCTTGATTGTAGCGCGTTACATTTTACTCTAACTCACCTCCAAACGGCTGATGGATTTCTATGAGGATCTTTTATTTCCGGGTACACTTGATGCCTTTTAAAATATAGAGTAAATGATATATGGAATTTGGAATTCATGGGCACTTTTTGCACATAAAATCACCCAATATATTTTTCAATGAGTTCAAATTATACATATATATTGCATTGATTTATGCATACATACTCGTATATGTATTATATGTACGAGTTTATCGATATATGTGCGTGTTTTATATAAAATATATAATTTTGTATATTACGATTCAATACACTTGGAAAAAACTTAAATAAACAAATAAAATATACATATGCGAGTATAATTATTTTCACTGTTATATACAACAACAAAAAAAAATGGAGCTTCGATTAGAAACTTGATGATGTCTGCCAACCGCTGCGCTTAGTTAAGAATGAATAAAGAAAAACGTAAGACACCGGCTGTGAGACTTTTCAGACACACATATTTGCATATGTATGTATGTATGTATCGGTAGAGAGTAAGCGGATGAATATTGTGCTTAAAAGTATATTATTATGTAAATACTCGTATATGTATTTTGGAAATAAATACTAGATCAAATCAAGCGTAACAAAAAATCAATAATTTTTAAGTCCAAAACACAAGAATTCTGTTGTAAAATATAGCTACATTGGTTTGAGAGATAACTGTATTAAGTGGGGTATGCAAAAAATATTACTGTTTTCGGAAAATAGACCATCATCATCATTTGCTGCCCCGGATAGAAAAGTTAGCATGGAAGAATCTATACTTACTTTACAATAAATCTTGAAACATAAGTCAATATTACACATCAAGCGCTGCGCGTAAATGTAGGCATCATTTAATTTTTAGCTATTGTGAATTCGATGCGTCCAATTTTTCTCGACAAAAAGTCATTTATGATCAAACAATGACCACATTTATAATTAATTCAATCGGATTGACGACTCGAAAAAGACGCACTTGTGATCAGAAACTCCATAAAATCTTAGTTGTTGCCTACATTGCGGCGCAAAATCAAAAATCTCAAAATGTGTGTACATAAATTTGGCAAAAAAAAATATTAATTATTTTCTTGGGAAGTAATTTTAAGAAAATGTTTAAACTCAATTCTTAACGGTTAACTTTTTTTTTATCAACACTGTTTGTATGTAAATTAGTGTGAAAAATATTTCGAAATGCGCATAAATACCGAAAAAAGAGGTGTGTTAAACTCATTACCATTGAAAGCATTAAAAAAATATATAAAAAAAATTTAAATTTTGTTTAAAAAAAATTTCAAAATACCAAAAATTAAAAAAAAAATTAAAAAAAATAAAAATTTTAAACCCCAAATCCAGGTTTACAATGCGACAGCTAAAAATTTTCAGTCCATAAAAAATCCGCACATGTGTTTCAGATCACAAATCACAATATTTGTTGGGAAGATCAACAGAGAGTAAACACACATACATATGTACATATATATAATATACACACGACTAGCTTAGGTGGAGTTGGGCACGTTGATAGCAGCAATGGAGGGGCGCTGTTGCGGCAATGCGCGCCACGACGACATTTGTTGCCAAATTAGATCATCAATACCGAAAAAGGCTGGAAGAAAATCAAAGCAAATAATGCAAAATTCACGTGTTGACGACACATCAGCAAAACAGAGTTGAGTGAAGTGTAGTGGAGCAGAGACAGCCGGCAGCTAGCAGCTAGCAGCCAGCAGTCAGCAGTGAGCAGGAGCAGGAGGAGGCGACGCTTCAAATGGGCCACGGCGCCATTAAAATGCACGCATCGCTTGCTATCGCTCACGGGCTGCTTGCGCAAACAAGCGCGTTTTGTTCGTAATTTGGCAGCGCTGAGATACACATACATACATACCAACAAATGTAAGCTTAAGCTGGAGCTGCAAGCAGTCTACCCATGCTTTTAGCTAGTAAAGCGAGCATGGCGTATGGTTAAGGCAAATTTTATTTGTTTATTTGTACTTTTAGTTAGCATTTTGCGTTTTTTTGTTGTTGTTGATACTTTTATTCTATTTTTTTCTTATAATTTTAATCTTTTTTTGTTCGTTTCTGAAACTTTAGAAACTATTTCGTGACGAAATATGTATGCAAGCATGAATTGTGTGCGATTTGTGAACGATCGAGTTCACTTGCGCCAGCCAACCCAACACGCTGACGTTCTCATTTTTATCTTTTTTTTTTGGTTTTTATTTATGTTTTGCACCGACTTTCTTATCACCAGCTGATCTCTATGCAATGGGCTTTTGGAAAGTTTTTCACTCAGTTGCGTTGGTGTGGTAATGGCAAAACAGCATGCGCAAAATCTAATCGGAGTAAAAAAATTCAAATTAAAAATTTTGTGATTGCTCAAGAAAGACTTTGATCACAAAAGCACAAAAGTCTGATGCAGTTCAAAGCTGTCGAGAGGTAGACTTAAATGCTTAGAGCTGCTAATATTTTGACAACCTCAGTGCGATATCAGTAGGTAAGGAAGGGCGTTAACTTATGCCTTCCATGGTGCTCTGGTTGAAGTTCCTTAGGTCTACATTACTTACAGGAATAAATCAGTAAAAATCTTGCTTATCGGAGCTTATGATGCTGGTAAAGGAAAATTGTTTCTCTGTGATAAATCAGAAGATTCTCGCGCCATTTGGTTTTTCAGTTTGGTATTCCGCTTTAATTATTGGCATTTCGTTATCCACTTGATACTCCCTCTACTCCCTATGCTATAGTTTTCTTTTATTTAGTTTTGCCTCTTTTTCCATCAGCCGCTACTGCGCCGAAGACTTTCGAAGTTAGCGTTTTTTCACCTAACTGGATGACCTAACGAGCAAAGCTGCTGTCTCTTTACCAGCGCACGATGGTCCTCGCCGCTGCGGAAATGTTGAGCGACGAGATAGAGATTTACATTTCAATTGCCTGCTAAGCCCAAACTATTGTACAATAGCATCTATTGGCAAGGGTGACAATGCGTTGGTTCCAATATAGCCGATTTTATCTGCGACTTTAGTCTTATGGCAACAGTTATATATTAGGTCGAGCTCCTCCTCCAAATGGAGTGAGCCGCAGTTTACACTAAGCCACCTCCGAACGACGGATGGTATTTAAGAGAAGTCATTATTTCATATGAGATGGGCGACCGCGATTAGAAGATTTAACTTAATTTTTTATACAAATTATTTTCTATAACACTTGGATGTGAGTCGCACTATCTTCTTTCGAATGACGGTACGCAATGCTATCGGCTATCGCGGCCGCCAATTAACAGTTACTGGGCAGTAAAAGTGCTCCGAAAAACCCTCGCCAAATCTTACTGCGCTTCTGGTAGCTTTCAGACTGTCTACTTTCTTATATAATAAGCATAGAAAAATTAGGTTCTAGTCGTTAAACTCGCTTTAACATGACATTTTCTCCAAAGAAGCTGACGTACATATACTTGGTCAGCTGTTCGCAGTTCCGGTCCCTACATGAGTATACTTCGGTCTTGATAACTTAAAGAATATGGTCCCTGTTAGTTTCTCAAACTCTGCATGCTCCCGTATATCATTCTCTCTCATTACCTGTCTGCAAAAGCTCCTTGCTAGCCTCTTTAGTTC